TCAGTTTTTCGTTTTTTAAACTTTGGATTTTTCAATTTTCCGACTGTTTTATATTTTGATTTCTCGGATTTTCAACTTTTAGATAATTTAATTTTTCAATTTTTAAAATTCTAGATTTTTCAATTTCTCTAGTTTTTAGTTCTTGAGTATATTTTAATTTTTCAATTTTCCGAATTTTTAAATTTTCGATTTTCCAATTTTTTGAGATCTCGATTTATCGAGATTCAGATGTTTCGACGCTTTAATTGTTCAATATCTCGATTTATCAATTTTTCCATTTTTCTAACTTTTCCATTTTTCGATTTTGGCATATTAGATTTCAGTTATTGTATTTTTCGATGTTTCGATTTTTGGATTTCTCGGTTTGTTTATTTTTGTACTTTTGGGCTTTTCAATTTTTTGATTCTCCAATTTTTTGATGTTTCGATTTTTCCGTTAACCGATTTTTCAATTTTTTGATTTTTTTAATTCTGGAGTTTGTCGATTTTTCAGTTTTTCGATTTTTAAATTTTAGATTTTCGAATTTTTATTTTTTGATTTCTTGATGTTTGGAAAAATTTGGATCCATTTTTGTTGCTAAATATTCAGTTTTCCGATTTCTCAATTAATCTGTTTTTGATTTTCCCATATCTCGATTATTCGAAGTTTCGATTTTTCAGTTCTTCAATTCTTCGATTTTCGAATTTGCTTTTTCGGTTTTTTGATGTCTCAATTTTACGACATTTTATTTTTTGGATTTTCAGTTTTTCGTTTTTTGAACTTTAGATTTTTCAATTTTCCGCCTGCTTCATAGTTCGATTTCTCAAATTTTCAACTTTTCGATCGAATTTAATTTTCAATTTTTAAAATTCCAGATTTTTCAGTTTCTCGAGTTTTTAGTTCTTGTATTTTTTAATTTTTCAATTTTCCGAATTTTTTAATTTTCCATTTTCCAATTTTTTGAGATCTCGATTCATCGAGATTCGGATGTTTCGATGCTTTGATTGTTCAATCTCTCGATTCATCAATTTTTTCATTTCTAACTTTTCCATCTTTCGATTTTGGCCTATTAGATGTCAGTTTTTGAATTTTTCGATGTTTCAAAGTTTGGATTTCTCGGTTTGTCGATTTTTTTACTTTTGGGCTTTTCAATTTCTCGATTTTCCAATTTTTTGATGTTTCGATTTTTCGGTTACCCGATTTTTCAACTTTTCAATTTTAAAAATTCTGGAGTTTGTCGCTTTTTCAGTTTATCGATTTTAAAATTTTAGATTTTAGAATTTTTATTTTTTGTTTTTTTGGATCCATTTTTCAATTGTGCGATATTTTAATTGTTTAATCTTTTAAACGTAAAATTTCTCTATTTTCTGATTTTTTGATTTTTTAGTTCTTCGGTATTTCGATTTTTCAATGTTTCAAATTTTGACGTTGCTAAATGTTCAGTTTTCCGATTTCTCAATTAATCTATTTTTGATTTTCTCATTGTTCTCCAAGTTTCGATTTTTCAGTTCTTCAATTCTTCGATTTTTCGAATTTGCTTTTTTGGTTTTTCGATTCCTCAATTTTCCAATTTCTCAATTTTTGGATATATGTTTCAGTTTTGTGATTTTCCAATAATTTGATTCTCCGACTTCTCGATTTTTCGACTTCTGGGTTTTTTGATTTTTCATTTCTTGGATTTTCAGTTTTTCGTTTTATAAACTTTAGATTTTTCAATTTTCCGCCTGCTTCATAGTTCGATTTCTCAAATTTTCAACTTTTCCATCGAATTTAATTTTCAATTTTTAAAATTCCAGATTTTTCAGTTTCTCGAGTTTTTAGTTCTTGTATATTTTAATTTTTCAATTTTCCGAATTTTTAAATTTTCCATTTTCCAATTTTTTGAGATCTCGATTCATCGAGATTCGGATGTTTCGATGCTTTGATTATTCAATCCCTCAATTCATCAATTTTTCCATTTCTAACTTTTCCATCTTTCGATTTTGATCTATTAGATTCAGTATTTGAATTTTTCGATGTCTCGATTTTTGGATTTCTCGGTTTGTCGATTTTTTTACTTTTGGGCTTTCCAATTTTTCGATTTTCCAATTTTTTGATGTTTAGATTTTTCGGTTACCCGATTTTTCAACTTTTCAATTTTAAAAATTCTGGAATTTGCCGATTTTTCAGTTTATCGATTTTAAAATTTTAGATTTTCGAATTTTTATTTTTTGTTTTTTTGTATCCATTTTTCAATTGTGCGATATTTTAATTGTTTAATGTTTTAAATGTAAAATTTCTCTATTTTCTGATTTTTTGATTTTTCAGTTCTTGAGTATTTCGATTTTTCAATTTTTCAAATTTTGACGTTGCTAAATGTTCAGTTTTCCGATTTCTCAATTAATCTATTTTTGATTTTCCCTTTGTTCTCCAAGCTTCGATTTTTCAGTTCTTCAATTCTTCGATTTTTCGACTTTGTCTTTTTGGTTTTTCGATTTCTCAATTTTCCAATTTCTCAATTTTTGGATATATGTTTCAGTTTTGCGATTTTCCAATATTTTGATTCTCCGAATTTTCGATTTTTCGACTTCCGGATTTTTCGATTTTTTATTACTTGGATTTTCAGTTCTTCGTATTATAAACTTTAGATTTTTCAATTTCTCGACTGTTTCATATTTCGATTTCTCAAATTTTTAACTTTATGATAATTTAATTTTTCAATTTTTAAAATTCCAGATTTTTCAGTTTCTCGAGTTTTTAGTTCTTGTATATTTTAATTTTTCAATTTTCCAAATTTTTTAATTTTCGATTTTTCAATTTTTTGAGATCTCGATTTATCGAAATTCGAAATTCGGATGTTTCGGTGCTTTGATTGTGTTCAATCTCACCATTTATCAATTTTTCCATTTCTAACTTTTCCATTTTTCGATTTTGGCCTATTAGATTTTAGTTTTTGAATTTTTCGATGTTTCGATTTTTGGATTTCTCGGTTTATCGACTTTTTTACTTTTGAGCTTTTCAATTTTTCGATTTTCCAATTTTTTGATGTTTCGATTTTTCGGTTATCCGAGTTAGTCGACTTTTCAGTTTTTCGATTTTGAAATTTAGATTTTCGAATTTTTATTTTTTGATTTTTTGATGTTTGGAAAAATTTGGATCAATTTTTCAATTGTGCCATATTTTAATTGCTCGATATTTTAAATTTAAAATTGTTCCATTTTCTGATTTTTCAAATTTTCAAGTTTTGACGTTGCTAAATGTTCAGTTTTCCGATTTCTGAATTAATCTATTTTTGATTTTCCTATTTCTCGACTTTTCGAAGTTCGAATTTTCATTTCTTCAATTCTTCGATTTTCGACTTTGCTTTTTTGGTTTTTTGATGTTTCAATTTTTCGATTTTTTATTTTTTGGTTTTTCAGTTTTTCGTTTTTTAAACTTTGGATTTTTCAATTTTCCGACTGTTTTATATTTTGATTTCTCGGATTTTCAACTTTTAGATAATTTAATTTTTCAATTTTTAAAATTCTAGATTTTTCAATTTCTCTAGTTTTTAGTTCTTGAGTATATTTTAATTTTTCAATTTTCCGAATTTTTAAATTTTCGATTTTCCAATTTTTTGAGATCTCGATTTTTCGAGATTCGGATGTTTCGATGCTTTGATTGTTCAATCTCTCGATTCATCAATTTTTCCAGTTCTAACTTTTCCATTTTTCGATTTTGGCCTATTAGATTACAGTTTTTGAATTTTTTGATGTTTCGATTTTTCGGTTATACGATTTTTCAATTTTTCAATTTTTTAATTCTGGAGTTTGTCGATTTTTCAGTTTGTCGATTTTTAAATTTTAGATTTTAGAATTTTTATTTTTGATTTTTTGATGTTTGGAAAAATTTGGATCCATTTTTCAATTGTGCGATATTTTAATTGTTCAATGTTTTAAATTTAAAACTCTTCTATTTTCTTTTTTTTTTTATTTTTCAGTTCTTCAGTATTTCGATTTTTCAATTTTTCAGATTTTGACGTTGCTAAATATTCAATTTTCCTATTTCTCGATTAATCTATTTTTGATTTTCCCATTTCTCGATTTCTCGAAGTTTCGATTTTCCAGTTCTTCAATTCTTCGATTTTTCGATTTTCGACTTTGCTTCATTGGTTTTTGATTTCTCAATTTTCCAATTGCTCAATTTTTGGATATATGTTTCAGTTTCAGGATTTTCCAATATTTTGATTCTCCGACTTTTCGATTTTTTCATTTCTCGGATTTTCAACTTTTCGATAATTGAATTTTTCCCTATTTAAAATTCTAGATGTTTCAGTTCCTCGAATTTTCAGTTCTTCTAAGTATATTTTAATTTTTCAATTTTTAGGATTTTTAAATTTCTTGAGATCTCAAATTTTTCGATTTTTCAGTTCTTCAATATTTTTTAATGTTTCAAATTTTGGCGTTTCTGAATTGTCAGTTTTCCGATTTCTCAGTTAATCTATTTTTTGATTTTGTTATTACTCAACTTCCCACAGTTTCGATTTGTCAGTTCTTCAATTCTTCAATGTTTCGATTTTTCAGGTTTTTTTAGTACATATTTCGACTTTTCGATTTTCGGAATTATTAAATTTTCAGCGTTTCGATTTTTCAATTATCCGACTGTTCAATTTACAACTAAATAATGAATTCTTAGTTAAACAAAAAAATAATCAAATTAAAATCGATATTATGTTTGTAAATAAAAGCATCTAAATAATGACTATTTCCCGTAGAAATTCTAAACGTTTAGAGTCGACATTGGTCTGAGCGCGCTCCGGTCCGTGGATCAAACAAGTTCTCAGGTGGACAAAAATCTACTTAAACATTTTTTAGTAGAATTTTTTGCGGTGTGTTTGTGTTGTAAGGAGTGAATGTGGACAGTCATTCAGATACTTACACTTTTATAGTAACAATTATTAGAGGGAGGTTATTCATGATAGAGTATAATACATATGCAAAATCTGTTCATTAGATGTATCCTTTTGGATTGTAAGACCTGAACAAATGCGACATTATCGCTACAAGTGGTTAAGTGTTGCTAGTTGTGTCGCATATAACAAACAAACGTATTTTATTTCGTCGCAAGCTTCCACTAACAGAACAAAACTATGTAATTTTGTCTGTCACTACGACGAATGAAAGAATATATTTGTTAAAAATCAAAATCTTATAAATACTACAAATATACGTCACCATTGAAACGTTAACAATAGGGAAAGATTAACAAGTGTGGGTTTAAAGCGTGGTCGTAATATACACGTTTACTGTGGTGAAAAATAATTTTCTCAATTAAGTGAAGTTTTAGGGAACGTTGTGGTAGCAACATAGGTAAATCAGTTGGTAGCACTATTTATAAAAATAAACCGTCCGATAGATTGAAGATTTTATTTTTCGTTTAAATCTTTCGGACCACCTATAGCCATTCATCACTGGCTGGAATCCGTTTTAAATATTTATTTATGCACTCGTCTGTGGTAGTAAAAGTATCATTTCTCTCTGACATGCGAAAAGACTTCTTGCTTGAAGAAAATGTCCTCAGGTACGTGTCCACGACACTTTACATCCATTTAAACTATAATTGTAGAAATTTTAACATGTCAACGAGTCCTCTCGATCACCGTTTTCCTGGGATTCATGATCCATCACATGCTCCGAGTCAACATTTCAATCGCAATAGTTGAAATGGTCTTCAGGAACTATTCCAACGTCACTCAAGAAGACCACGGTCCTCGCTACCACTGGGACGAGGAGGAAAAGAACGACATTTTAGGCTACTTCTTCTGGGGTTACGTTATAACCCAAATTCCCGGAGGAAGACTTTCCGAGAAACTAGGAGCGAAGATAGTCGTAGGAACTGGTCTTCTGAGTGCCAGTATTTTAACGTTGCTCACACCCGTAGCAGCCCATATGGGCTACCTTTGGCTCGTCGTGGCTAGATTTTGTCTGGGTGTGTCCTTAGGGATACACTGGCCTTCGACGCCCCCCATTGCCACGAAATGGATAGCACCAGCTGACACTGCAACCTTCATGTCCCATATGACCGCTAGTTCTCTGGGAGTCGCCGTCACGTTGCCCGTTTGTGGCTACTTGATAGCTTACTGGGGCTGGGCTAGCGTTTTCTACGTCACGGGAAGCGTAGCTCTGACTTGGTCCCTGTGTTGGTTCTACTTGATCTACGACTCACCTGAAGAACATCCAAGGATAAGCACCACCGAGAAGGAAAAACTTCGACTGGAGATAAAACCTGTCAACACGTCACTGAAGAAACCTCCGATTCCTTGGATGAAAATGTTGACTTCAGGTCCTGTGTGGTCGGTGATAATGGGCAACACTTGTGCTGGGTGCACGTTCTTCGTGGCTTTCAATCAACTACCGACCTACATGAGTCACGTGCTCCATTTCAACATCAAAGCGAACGGATTGTTTTCCAGTTTGCCGTATTTAGGTAAAAAGTGCAGTTTGTGTTAGACCCAACTAATTGTCAATTTCTAGTTAGGTACTTCGTGTCGCTAGTCTCCTGCATAACCGCCGACAAGCTCAAAAAAAACGATAAATTTTCGACCACGACGATCCGCAAATTTTTCAACGTTTCGTTCTTCGTGGGGGCTGGATGTCTCTTCACGGCGCAAGCGTTTTGGGGCTACAGCGGGATAGTCTCTGTTGTTGTTTTCACAGTATCTTTGGGTTTAATGGGTTTCGTTACGGCGGGAGTTTACACAAACCCTGTTGACATATCGCGTGCTTTCTCCGGGACGATTCTCGGTGTGAGTCAAGTTCCTGGAGCCTTGGTAGGCTATGTTACCACAGAAGTTGTGGCTTTTTTTACCAAGGAGAAGCAAGGGTTCGAGCAGTGGGCCTCCGTTTTCTGGATGTTGGTAGGAGTGAATGCTTTCGCGGCGGTTTTTTCTTTCATTTTTACTTCTGGGGAGGAACAGAGCTGGAGTGTGAGCGCTGACGTAAAGGAGATGGAGAAACTGGAAAGTCAAGACACTGTAGAGAAATAAACGATTAGAATTATTTAGAGTTTTTTTCTTGTCAAAATTAAGTATCAACTGGTTTGGGACAGTTTTCATCCCATTTGAAACGTCCTGTAAAAACGAGAGAAATTGACATATTTTGACCCTCTTATATTAAAATTTGAGTTTCAGTTTTGTTTTAAATTTTACCGTTTTGTATAACTCTCCGAGTATATTAAAATATACTTAAAAGAACTGAAAACTAGAGAAATTGAAAAATCTAGAATTTTAAAAATTGAAAAACTTAATTATCGAAAAGTTGAAAATTTGAGAAATCGAAATATGGAATTGTCGAAAAATTGAAAAATCCAAAGTTTAAGAAACGAAAAACTGAAAATCCAAAAAATAAAAAATCGAAAAATCGAAGAATTGAAAAATCGAAATTTCGAGAAGTCGAGAAATGGGAAATTCCGAAATAGATTAATTTAGAAATCGGAAAACTGAATATTTAGCAATGTCAAAATTTGAAAAATTGGAAAATAGAAATATTGAAGAACTGGAAAATCAAAAAATCCAGAAATCGAAAAATCTAAAATTTAAAACATTGAACAATTGAAATATCGCAAAATTGAGAAATGGGGAAATCCAAATATCAAAGAATCAAAAAAGAAAAATTCGAAAATCTAAAACTTAAAAATCGAAAAACTGAAAAATCGACAAATCGAAACTCCAGAATTTAAAAAAATTGAAAACTTAAAAATTCGGAATATTGAAAAGTTAAAATATACAAGAACTAAAAACTCGAGAAAGTGAAAAATCTAGAATTTTAAAATTTGAAAAATTGAATTATCGAAATACGAAATAGTCGTAGTTCGATAATAATCTAGAATTTTAAAAATTGAAAATCTAAACTTTACAAAATACGAAAAACTGAAAATCCAATAAATAAAAAATCGAAAAATCCAGAGGTCGAGAAGTCCAAACCTCGGAGATTCAAAATATTGGAAAATCGCTAATCTGAAACATATCCAAAAATTGAGAAATTGGAAAACTGAAAAATCGAAAAACCAAAAAAGCAAAGTCAAAAAATCGAAGAATTGAAGAACTGAAAAATCGAAACATCGAGAAGTCAAGAAACGGGAAAATCAAAAATTAATTAATTGAGAAATCGGAAAACTGATTATTTAGCAACGTCAAAATTTGAAAAATTGAAAAATCGAAATACTGAAGAACTGAAAAATCAAAAAATCAGGAAATTAAAATATCGCACAATTAAAAAATGGATCAAAATTTTTCCAAACGTCAAAAATCAAACGAAAATCTAAACTTTAAAAATCTAAAAGCTGAAAAATCGACAAACTCCAGAATTAAAAAATCGAAAAATTGAAAAACCGGAGAACTGAAAAATCGAAACATCAAAAAATTGGAAAATCGAAAAATTCAAAAACTGAGACATCGGGAAATCGAAAAATCATAGAATCGATATGTCGAGGAGTGGAAAACCGAGAAGAAAAGTTAAACATTGAAAAATTGATAAATCCAGAAATTGAACAATCAAAACATCGAAATATCTGGATTCGATAAATCCCTAAATCAAAAAGAGGGCGGGTGGGCGGGGCTAGTACCTACTAAGACAAAACTGATTTTGCCAAATGAGATACCTTTTAAGAAAAGGGAGGCGGTGGGCGGGGCTAGTAGTTTCCAAGATAAGACTGATTTTGGGAAATGAGATAAGAGAACAGAGGGTGGGTGGGTGGGGCTAGTACCTGCTAAGATAAAACTGATTTTGGCAAATGATATACCCTTTAAGAAAAGAGAGGGTGGGTGGGCGGGGCTAGTACCTGCTAAGATAAGAGTGATTTTGGCAAATAACATACCTTCTAAGAAAAGAGAGGGTGGGTGGGCGGGGCTAGTACCTGCTAAGATAAAACTGATTTTGCCAAATGAGATACCCTCTAAGAAAAGAACAAACAAAACAGTCTTATCTAAGCAAGTACTGGCTGGCCCTTCCCTCCCTTTTTTCGTAGAGGGTATGTGTTTTTCAAAATCAGTCATATCTTACGAAATACTAGCCCCACCCACCCGCCCTCTCGTTTTTTAGAAGATATTTCATCTGCCAAAATCAGTTCTACGTTAGCAGGTACTAGTACCGCCCACCCACCCTCTCTTTTTTTAGAGGGTAATTCATTTGCCAAGGTCAGTCTTATCTTAGCAAGTACCGCTGCAACAACAAATATTAGACAATGTGTTAATAAACAAATCAAAAAATGAAGATCAAAACATAATCTGATAAACGCTACAAACAAACGTGACTATTGGTATTGACGCTTTAACAATAGAGTACGATTAACAAGTGTGGTCATAATATAAACGCCTGTCTCCGCACAAAATAAATTCTTAAATAAAATGGAAATTAAGGGAACGCTGTTGCTCCAATATGTCTAAACCAACTAGTTACCCCTTTTTGTAAGAGTACATCATCCGACAAATTAAAATGTCACTAACTGATTGAAACTTTTAGACCACCTAGTGATTAAAGTCGGGTTTAAATATTTGTTTTCACAATCCTCTTCGTTCGTCTTGGAATGACAATCCAGTCTCATTTCTCTCTGATACGTGAAAAGATTCATTGCTTGGAGATAATGTCCTCAGGTACGTGTCTAGAAGACTTTACATCCATTTAAACTACGATTGTACAAATTTTAACATGTCAACGAGTCCTCTCATTCACCGTTTTCCTGGGCTTCATGATCCATCACATGCTCCGAGTCAACATTTCAATCGCAATAGTTGAAATGGTCTTCAGGAATAATTCCAACGTCACTCAAGAAGACCACGGTCCTCGCTACGACTGGGACGAGGAGGAAAAGAACGACATTTTAGGCTACTTCTTCTGGGGTTACGTTATAACCCAAATTCCAGGAGGAAGACTTTCCGAGAAACTAGGAGCGAAGATAGTCGTAGGAACTGGTCTTCTGAGTGCCAGTATTTTGACGTTGCTCACACCCGTAGCAGCCCATATGGGCTACCTTTGGCTCGTCGTGGCTAGATTTTGTCTGGGTGTGTCCTTAGGGATACACTGGCCTTCGACGCCCCCCATTGCCACGAAATGGATAGCACCAGTTGACACTGCAACCTTCATGTCCCATATGACCGCTAGTTCTTTGGGAGTCGCCGTCACGTTGCCGGTTTGTGGCTACTTGATAGCTTACTGGGGCTGGGCTAGCGTTTTCTACGTCACGGGAAGCATAGCTCTGACTTGGTCCCTGTGTTGGTTCTACTTGATCTACGACTCACCTGAAGAACATCCAAGGATAAGCACCACCGAGAAGGAAAAACTTCGACTGGAGATAAAACCTGTCAACACGTCACTGAAGAAACCTCCGATTCCTTGGATGAAAATGTTGACTTCAGGTCCTGTGTGGTCGGTGATAATGGGCAACACTTGTGCTGGGTGCACGTTCTTCGTGGCTTTCAACCAACTACCGACCTACATGAGTCACGTGCTCCATTTCAACATCAAAGCGAACGGATTGTTTTCCAGTTTGCCGTATTTAGGTAAAAAGTGCAGTTTGTCTTAAACCCAACTAATTGTCAATTTCTAGTTAGGTACTTCGTGTCGCTAGTCTCCTGCATAACCGCCGACAAGCTCAAAAAAAACGATAAATTTTCCACCACGACCATCCGCAAATTTTTCAACGTTTCGTTCTTCGTGGGGGCTGGATGTCTCTTCACGGCGCAAGCGTTTTGGGGCTACAGCGGGATAGTCTCTGTTGTTGTTTTCACAGTATCTTTGGGTTTAATGGGTTTCGTTACGGCGGGAGTTTACACAAACCCTGTTGACATATCGCGTGCTTTCTCCGGGACGATTCTCGGTGTGAGTCAAGTTCCTGGAGCCTTGATAGGCTATGTTACCACAGAAGTTGTGGCTTTTTTTACCAAGGAGAAGCAAGGGTTCGAGCAGTGGGCCTCCGTTTTCTGGATGTTGGTAGGAGTGAATGCTTTCGCGGCGGTTTTTTCTTTCATTTTTACTTCTGGGGAGGAACAGAGCTGGAGTGTGAGCGCTGACGTAAAGGAGATGGAGAAACTGGAAAGTCAAGACACTGTAGAGAAATAAACGATTACAATTATTTAGAGTTTTTTTCTTGTCAAAATTAAGTATCAACTGGTTTGGGACAGTTTCATCCCATTTGAAGTGTCCTGTAAAAACGAGAGAAAGTGACATATTTTGACCCTCTTATATTAAAATTTGATTTTCAGTTTTGTTTTAAATTTTACCGTTTTGTATAACTCTCCGAGTATAATAAAATATACTTAAAAGAACTGAAAACTAGAGAAATTGAAAAATCTAGAATTTTAAAAATTGAAAAACTTAATTATCGAAAAGTTGAAAATTTGAGAAATCGAAATATGGAATTGTCGAAAAATTGAAAAATCCAAAGTTTAAGAAACGAAAAACTGAAAATCCAAAAAATAAAAAATCGAAAAATCGAAGAATTGAAAAATCGAAATTTCGAGAAGTCGAGAAATGGGAAATTCCGAAATAGATTAATTTAGAAATCGGAAAACTGAATATTTAGCAATGTCAAAATTTGAAAAATTGGAAAATAGAAATATTGAAGAACTGGAAAATCAAAAAATCCAGAAATCGAAAAATCTAAAATTTAAAACATTGAACAATTGAAATATCGCAAAATTGAGAAATGGGGAAATCCAAATATCAAAGAATCAAAAAAGAAAAATTCGAAAATCTAAAACTTAAAAATCGAAAAACTGAGAAATCGACAAATCGAAACTCCAGAATTTAAAAAAATTGAAAACTTAAAAATTCGGAATATTGAAAAGTTAAAATATACAAGAACTAAAAACTCGAGAAAGTGAAAAATCTAGAATTTTAAAATTTGAAAAATTGAATTATCGAAATACGAAATAGTCGTAGTTCGATAATAATCTAGAATTTCAAAAATTGAAAATCTAAACTTTACAAAATACGAAAAACTGAAAATCCAATAAATAAAAAATCGAAAAATCCAGAGGTCGAGAAGTCCAAACCTCGGAGAT